CTGGCTTATTTCACTTAGCATAATGCCCTCAGGGTATATCCATGTTATAGCAAATGTCAGGCTTTCCTTCTTTTTCATGGCTGAATAATATTCCTGTGTGTGTGTGTGTGTGTGTGTGTGTGTGTGTGTGTTTGTATGTATGTATATATACCACATCTTCTTAATCCATTCATTCCTTGATGGACACTTAGGTGGTTCCATATCTTTGCTGTTGTGAATAATGCTGCAATGAACATGGGAGTACAGATATCTCTTCCATATCCTATTTTCATTTCTTTTGGATATATACCCAGAAATGGGATTGCTGGATTATGTGGTTGTTCTATTTTTAATTATTTAAGGTGCCTCCATACTGTTCTCCATAGTGCCTGCACCAATTTGTATTCCCACCAACAGTGCACAAGGGTTCCCTTTTCTCCATATCCTCACCAACACTTGTTATCTTATCTTTTTGGTGATAGCCATTCCAACAGGGTGAGCTGATGTCTCATTGTGGTTTTGATTTGCATTTCCTTGATGATTTGTGATGTTGATTATATATATATATATATATATACACACACACACACACATATACATACGTATATATATATACATGTATATATATATATATATATATATATACACACCACAGACATATGGTATGATGGTGCACCTTTTCATGTACCTGTTGGCCATCTGTGTGTCTTCTTTGGAAAAATGTCTATTCAGATCCTCTGCCCTCTTTTTAATCAAAGTGTGTTTTTGCTATTGCATTGTATGAGTTCTTTCTGTATTTTGGACATTAACCCCTTATATATATGATATGCAAATATTTTCTCCCATTCCATAGGTACCTTTTCACTCTGTTGATGGTTTCCTTTGCTGTGCAGAAGTGTTTTAGTTTGATGTAGTTCCAGTTGTTTATTTTTGCTTTTGATGTCAGATCCAAAAAATCATTGACAAGACAGGTCTCAAAGAGCTACCCCATGTTTTCTTCTAGGTTATGGTTTCAGGTTTTCTTTTCACATCTTTAACCCATTTTGAGTTGATTTTTGTGCGTGGTATAAAATAGTGGTCCAGTTTTATTCTTTTGCACATGGCTGTCCACTTTTCTCAACACCAGTTATTGAAGAGACTTCTCGTTTCCCATTGTATATCCTTGGCTCCTTTGTCGTAAATTAATTGACCATGCATGCGTGAGTTTATTTCTTGGCTCTCTATTCTGTTCCATTGATCTGTGTGTCTATTTTGATGCCAATATCATGCTGTTTCTGCTACTATAGCTTTGTAATATAGTTTGAAATCTGACAGTGTGTGCCTCCAGCTTTGTTCTTTTTTCTCAAGATTGCTTTGTGCTATTCAGGGTCTTCTTTGGTTCCATACAAATTTTAGGATTGTTTGTTCTATTTCTGATAAAAATGCCATTGGAATTGGTAGGGATTGCATTGAATATGTTGATGATTTTGGGTAGTATGGACGTTTTAAAAATATTAATTCTTCCAATCCACGAGCATGAAAATTCTTTCCATTTATTTGTGTTTTCTTGAGTTTTTTAATAAAAATCAGTGTCTTAACAGTTTTCAGTGTACAGATCTTTCACCTCCTTGGTTAAATTTATTCCTAGGTACTTTATTCTGTTTGATGCAATTATAAATGGGATTATTTTCTTAATTTCTCTTCCTGATAGGTTGTTGTCATTATATAGAAATGCAAACGATTTTTGTATATTGATTTTGTATCCTGCAACTTAACCGAATTTGTTTATTAATTCTAACAGGTTTGTTTGGTAAAGTATTTAGAATTTTCTATATATAATAGTATCATGTCATCTGCAAATAGTGACAGTTTTGCTTCTTCTGCTCCGATATGGATGCCTTTTATTTCTTTTTCTTGCCTAATTGCCCTGACTAGCACCTCCAGTGCTATGTTAAGTAAAAGCAGCAAGACTGGGCATCTTTGTCTTGTTTCTGATCTTTGAGGAAAAGCTATCAGCTTTTCACCATTGAGTACGATTTTAGCTGTGGGCTTGTTATACATGGCCTTTATTGTGTTGACGTATGTTCCCTGTATACCTGCTTTGTTGAGAGTTTTTATCATAAATGGATGTTGTATTTTTTTCAAATACTTTCTGTGCATCTATTGAGATGATCATATGGTTTTTATCTTTAGTTTGGTTAATGTGGTGTATCACTTTGACTGATTTGCAGATGTTGAACTATCCTTGCATCCCTGGAATAAATCCCACTTGATCATGGTGTATGATCCTTCGAATGTGTTGTTGAATTCGGTTTGCTAATATTTTGAGGATTTTTCCTTGTATTTTCATCAGCAATATTGAGCAGTATTCTTTCCTTGTAGTGTTTTTCTATGTTTTTGGCATCAGGGTAATGCTGGCCTTGTAAAATGAGTTTGGAACTGTTCTCTCCTTTTCTGTTTTTTGGAAGAGCTTGAGAAGGATTGGTATAAATTCATTTTTAAATGTTTGGTGGGATTTTCCAATGAAGCCTTCAGGTCATGGACCTTTGTTTGTTGGCAGGTTTTGGATTATTCACTCAATCTCTTTACTAATCGGTCTGTTCAGATGTTGTTTCTTCATGAATTAGTCTTGGTAGGTTGTATGTTTCTAGGAACTTATCCTTTTCTTCCAGGATTCAATTTGTTGCTGTATAATTGTTCGTGGTAGTCTGTTACCCTTTGTATTTCTGTGGTATCAGCTGTAATCTCTCCTTTTGCATTTCTAATTTTATGAGTCCTCTCTTTTTTTCTGGGTGAGTCTAGCTAAAGATTTGTTTATTTATTTTTTCAAAAAACCAGCTCTTAGTTTCATTGATGTTTTTTATTGTCTTTTTAGTCTCTATTTCATTTATTTCCATTTTTATCTTTGTTATTTCCTTCCTTGTAATAACTTTGGGCTTTGTTCTTCTTTTTCTAGTTTCCTGAGGTGTAAAATTAGGTAATTTATTTGGAATCTTTGTTTTTTTCTTAATATGTGAATTTCCCTCTTAAAACTGCTTTTGCTGCATCCCATAAATTTTGGTATATTGTATTTCCATTTTCATTTGTCTCAAGATATTTTTTGAGTTCTTCTTTTGATTTCTTCTTTGACCCATTGGTTGTTCAGTTGTATGTTGTTTAATCTCCAGATGTTTGTGGGCTTTTCAGTTTTCTTTGTATAATTGGTTTCCACTTTCATCCCATTGTGGTTGGAAAAGATGCTTGATATGACTTCAGTCTAATTAAATTTATTAAGACTTTCTTGTTGCCTAACATATGTATCCTGGAGAATGTTCTATGTGTGCCTAGAAAAATATGTATCCTGCTGCTGTTGGATGGAATGTTTTGTAAATATTCATTAAGTCCACCTGATCTAGCTTGTAGTTTACGTACAGATTTCTTTCTTTCTCTCTTTTTTTGTCTGGATGACCTAGCCATTGATGAAAGTGGAGTATTGACGTCTACTACTATTATTGTACTGCTGTCTGTTTCTTCCTTCAGGTCTGTTAGTATTTGCTGTATATATTTAGGTGCTCCTATGTTGGGTGCCTAAGTGTTTACGAATGTTATATCTTCTTGTCAGATTGACCCCTTTAACATTATATGATCGTGCTCTTTGTCTCCTATTAGTCTTTGGTTTAAAATCTAGTTTGTACAGTAGAAGTGTAGTTACCTCTGCTTCCTTTTGGTTTCCATTTGCATGGAGTATCTTTCCACCCCTTCACTTTCAGTCTGTTTGTATCCTTACCTCTGACGTGAGTCTCTTGTGGGCAGCATGTAGTTGGGTCTTGTTTTTTTATTCATTCAGCCACTGTGTCTTTTGATTGGAGAATTTAGTTCATATACATCTAACGTAATTATTTATAGGTATGGACTTACTATTGCCATTTTGTTAATTGTTTTCTTGCCTTTTTGTAATTCTTTTGTTCCTTTCTTCATCCCTTTGTCTCTTCCTTTGTGATTTGATCATTTTCTGCAGTGATGTGCTTAGATTCCTTTCTCTTTCTCTTTAGTGTATCTATTGTAGGTTTTTGCTTTATGGTTACTGTGAGGCTCACATAAAACTTCTTATAACAGTCTATTTTAAGCTGATAACAACTGAAGTCTGTACGTATCATTTTTCATTCAACTGTAGAAGCAGCAATGGGTTGTTTGTGCATTGAACAGGAGAAAATGAAAAGTTAGGCATATCTGTCAGTCTTAGGTTCATAAAAATGCTATCCAGTAATTTTTCTTTTAGTAAAGGAAATTTTTATTGATATTAGCCTCAATTTGTATAGTAATAATTTTCTGAGAGTTTATATGCTTAGTAAAGTTGCCTTAAATTTATTCCTCACTTTGACCATATCCCAGCTTTTTGCTATTTTGGAGACTGCTGGTAACTTACTTTGCCCTCGCGTGGATTGTTTAGAAAGACCTACTGCATGCAAGACCCATTTCTCACTCATTAAGTTTTTAGCGCTGTAACTGCTGTTGGGAGGTGTAGATACCTGGAAGTAACTTGTTGAGTTTCTTCCAAAATAGAAGGAACCATTCCAGCCCTTACTGCTGCTCCCCCAAAACCAGGACCCCTGGGGAGTTTGGGGCAGGGCCTCTGCAACTGGACCAATTGGATCTTCCTTACAGGATACTGAGTGTTTAGGGATGACCATACCCTTTGATGTTCCAGTTTTTGTAGTACCTAGATCTGTGATAATTGATTAAATAATTGCCCAGTGAGTATTGACAGTTGCTAAAACTTTTTCAACGTTGATTCTACCACAGTTAACCTGGTGGTGCAGTCAACAGAAGCAGCTATTGCCAGGTACTAGGCACAGGGCTTGCCACCTCTAGTATTATCTCTTATCTGAAATGCAGGTCTTGTTCCCCCATTTTATAGGCAGAGACACTAAGCCTCAGGAGAGGTTAAGATGGTTGTCTGGGCTCATACTGCTGAACTTGCACAACAGAATTTTGACCAAGGTCTGCTGCTCACAAGCTCCTGTTCTTTCTGTTCCCCATGTCTCTGACATACCATGGTAAGGACATGTAACAACCTGTTATCTGAGTGCTTACCTTGAACCAGGAACCACTGAACACTCTGAGAGATTAAACAGCTGGGCCAAAGCCCGGTGCTTATCAGAGCAGAGCAGGCTGTGAGCTGACATCTTCCTGACCCAAAGCCTTTTACTCTTATTGGACCATGAATTTTATTTATTTATTTTTCCCCTAGCAAAATTTCCAGCAGCCAAGTATAGATTGGACACAAGTCCCTTTTGGAAACTTAAGGAAAGCAGCATGATGGAAGGCTTTGGGAAGGGTTGGAGGGGCAGGAGACAGGAACCCAAATCCCCTGGAGGGCCTCAGTACCTTCTGAAGTCCCAGGGTCAGCTCGTCAGCTCAGGGCCGAGTTGAGGCCGGGAACAGGCCCCGAACTTCCACTTGTGCTGTTCCTGAACCGTGTTCAAAGGCACCTGGTATTTATTGGTGATTCCCAACTTACGAAACAGACCTTTGAAGGAGAAGTTACTTGTACAGGCAAGAGGACCGTATACACCTCCTGTAAGATGTATGGTGTGGTTGTCCCCGTGATCCATGGCCATAGCACGTGTGTGCAGAGCAGAGCTTCATAGAATTGTGATGTAACGTTTCTTTATGTAGTCAATGAAATCATTTTCTGATCCTTGAGGTGATGATCAAAGTTTGGTCAATCATTTTTCTTTTCTACCTTAGCTGACGTGCCCTAGCAGTGTGGCTTCTAGAAAGCTGGAGAAAAAAATTAAACATACAGAAAAGCAAATCCCCCCCACCGTCTTTTCCCTCTGACAGATTGCAGAAGCTGAATTCATAACATTCCAGTTATTTCTCCACTGTTCTCTGAGTTGTACCTTACAGGTTACAAAGGAATTTTCACAAATTCTCTTTCAGATCTGGTGATGTGGGTATTCTCCGCCTCCCAACTCCCATTTTATAAAAGAAAGAAATGAGCCAGGAGAGGTTACTTTACTTGCCAAATACGGCACAGGGTGGAGGGTGACCCGTGACTCATGTCTGCGGGCTGGATTATGGATGCACTCACCTCGCAGTGCTCTTTGTCCTGCTTTCAGAGTCCCTGGACCAGACACGTAGATGACATAGATGGGACAGAGCCATATACTAGGAAACAGGCCGCACAGCTGTAAATGAGACTGTTACTGCATGTGCGGGTCCAAAATTAGGAAAGGTAAAGTGTTTTTCCTTGGCCTCCCGCCTCCAGAGACACAAAGAGTATATCCTTACTGTGTGTGTAGCTTTTAGCTAACTAGACCTGGAGCGGGCACATCTTTTGGAGGTGAGGGACATGTTTATTACCTTGTTAGTGGTGATGATATCAAGGTGTCCTAACTCATCAAATTGTATACATTAAATATGTGCAACTTTCAGTATGTTAAGTATACCTCAATAAAGTTGAAAAAGAAACTGCTCTAGCAGTAATGAGGGTTACTTTACAGACCTACCCGCCGTGTGTGCAGATCTGAAGGAGGTAGATGGAAAACTGGGGAGCTGACTTCCACAGTAACATGTCTGGTAGTCCCAGGACACTGCGGGCAGGGTTGGTGGTGGTCCCAGGGACCTCTTGCCTCTGCCTTCTCATGTCACTGGTGTGCCTCTGTAGATGGTGAAAAAGCACCTTGAGGTTTAGATTTCTGCCTATCGGAATCAATTTTCCAGTTGACTTTTATTATAACATTGTAAATGTTTTCTTTGGAAAAGGTATTGGCTTCAACGTGTTAAAATGGTTATAAAAACGTTATGAATAAACTGGACGTAAAACATCACAGTTTAAGGAAAACTTTTTTGGTGCTGTGTTAACAAGCAAGATCTTAAAAACAGCAAGTTGTGAATGGAGACCAGTAATCGTCAGTGCTTATCGAGGGGGAGGTGACCCTGTCCCCCTGCCAGGTCTGTGGCTGTGGGGGTCACCCTGCATCTCCCGTGAAATGACATTTATTTGCCTTCCCAGCCTCTCAGAGAGTCAAACTGGACCAGCGGTAGCAGTGAAAAGTTAATTAGTTGGATTTGAGCCTGACTGCTCTCTAAAAGAAGATGGGGGATCCTACTTTTTAAGTCTCCGACCTTTGCGTGTGCAGACTGCCCAGGCCACAGTGTGGGCAGGCCGAGGTCAGGAGCCGCCCAGGGCCCTGGCGGACTCCAGGCCAGACCCACGACCCCAGGGAAGCAGAGAGCTTAGTCTGCTGGGGGCACGTTCCATAGAGGCTGCTTCTGCTCAGCCCCCGGCACTCATGGGGGTTCAGTGGGAAACACACAGACCTGAGACCCTCCCCAGTGAGACTGGCCTGTTTAGAGGGTGTGGGGACCTGGCAGCTTCTGATGGTACTGAGGATTTGTTGCCAATTCTGTAGTGCTTACGAAGCCTGAGAGACACCGAGGTCGGAAGCGGGAGAGCCGCTGAGCCAGGAGCCTGAGGCAGGGGCGCCTTCCCTGTCGGCAGCCTGGGTCTGGTGGAGGCCTCTTTTGTGGGAGAAGCTAAATACAGGCCATCTTCAGATGACCACATCTGATAGTCCGAAAACTCATATTTAGGATGGTTTTGTAAAACGTTGGTTGTATGTTCCCAGTGGCTCGATCCTAAGCCTCTTCAGCTCATGCTTGGCACAGAGGCCTCTGGAGAGAGTGCCGAGTGTGTGGCACAGGGACTGACATCTGCTCGTAGTTCTTGTCACAGCTATGTGTTAACCTCTGGGCCTTAATGTCCCAGACAGTGATAAGGAGGGACGAGGTGAGTGCCGGCTCTGTGACCTTGGATTTCTAGGAACAGTACTGCACGGACAGTTTTGTACCACAAGCCTGGCTGCTACACCCCCACAGAGTTCTGTGGAACAAATCGTTCCAGGTGCGTGAGACCCCATTGGAGCCCCCGCCTCCCCCCGATTGCAGTGAACTCAGGCGCTCATCTGCCACCTGAGTCTCAGCTCCAGAAAAGGGAGCAGGGATCTCCGCGAGCTACACGCTGCCGGTGCTGCTGGCTTTTGTTGGCTGAGTGGGGCCAGGCATGGAGGAGCTGGACGCTTGGTTAGGTGCTTGGGAACAGAGTGGAGACGTGTGTACTGGGGCCTCTGCCTCGCTCTTGTCTTTCTAGAAGCGAGCATACGGCTCCCAGGGAGCCCCGTCAGTCAGTGCTGCTGGCTGCTCAGGGAGGGAGCCACCACCTGGGTGGAGGGGTGGCCTGGGCTTCTGGTGCTAGAAGCTCCCCGGGATTCAGATGTGTTGGTGCAGGGGAGCACCGCTCGTGTAAACGCTTTCATCAAAACCGTTCCCAAACCTGGTTCCTCCTCAGAAGCCGGGAGGGACTTTTGAAAACAGACCCCGGGCCCAGTCCCCACCCCAGGAATTACATGTTGGGAAGCCTGCACTTTGTTGCTTTATTTTAAAGCTTCTTCCAAGTCATACTGATCAGCCAGTTTGGAAACTGCTGACCTGGACCCTGGATTTTAAATCCCCTGCCACCTGGAGAGAGAGAGGCTGGTTTGGGATAGAGAGCACAGGAGAGGTAAGGAGAGAGGGGGAGGCGAGTGTCAGCACGCGTGTTCCTGTCTCCTAGATGTGCCTCACTCACGTTTGTGCGAGGTCACCCCTGTGTGCTCTCTGAGCTGTGCGTTTTCCTGGAGGAGTCACCAGGATGCTCAGGCCCCACTCGGGACCAACCTGGAGTGGGCTCAAGGGACCGGCCTGGGCATCTGTATGTTTACGTTGGTCTCCTTAAAGGTACCTTCTCCTCCAAGGTCCTCCGTGGGAGGATTTTCCTATAGGCACACTTTAGATAATTCACGAGACTTAAAAAAAATTCCATTCTGTGACTAATTACAGTGTTTATTGGCCGTACTGATTTCTGATCCTTACAGTGAGCTCACCCTCAAGGGAGACTCGTCTTATGCACAGAAATCTAACAAAATATAATGAGGAAACAGTGCAGGGCGTTGTGGTGCTTTAGAACATACCAGAAAAGGAGTGCCAATACTTTCTCTCCATGCCTTGTGTTCTCTGCTTTGGAGATTCCAGCTTGGGATGGTGAGTTCCTGGAAGACAGGGCTCAGGGTTAGTGGAGAAATCGCATAGCAGTCTATATTGTTTTGTGCGAAAGGGAAATAATTTCTCTTCTTTTAGGGATTTTTACAGAGCCTTACTTTTGCCTGGCAGGGCCAGTATCTGGGTCACCTGCAGAGCACAGAAGGATGTGAAATAATTATTACTTTACAAAGGCGACATGCATAAAGTGAGCCCTTCTCTGTCAGTTACATCACATCCTGAAGATGTTTGCAATGTTCCACAGCCAGACCTCCTAGTCCTCAGGATCGAAGTCCCTTATATCTTAGCGTCCTGATGGTCAGGACTGGGGCTCCGGCACTGCAAGATCCCGGCAGATCTTCTGATTAACCAGTGATTGCATTGTGTCCTTTACGACTCTAGAGCTTGGGGCTAAGGTGTCCTGTGTCCCTTGAAGGCTGACCCCAGGAGGCCCAGTTCTGTCCCCGTGCAGATGACATTTGTGGGGAGGCCTGTCATGTTGACTGTCTCAGGAATGGAAAACTTATCAGGCTGGTGTATAGAATATCTGATCACTCAGGGTTTTTTCTGCAAAAATATAACTAATAAACCAGAAAATTCTTATTCTCAAATTAGAGCCAGGTTCGATTACCCGGTAAAGGGTTCTGAACTCCTTTGAGCAGTCCTGGGCCCCTGGGTTTGGGCCCTTTCAGACCTGTCTCCACAGTCCCCTCCATTCCAGCACAGATCTGACTTTGCCTCTGAGCGGCTTCTCTGTCTCCCCATCACACCCTGGCACACTTTAGAGACACTATATGCGTGTTCGTGTATGTGTGTCTGTGTATGTGTTGACACTGGAAGGGTGGAGAAGATACTCCACGTGGCGTGAATCGTCGTCAGAAGATGGCAGGAGGATCTATATTAATATCAGATAATATACATTTCAGAGTAAAGACAATCCCCAGGTGCAGAGACCCACTCAGGAGTCCACGTTACGTTTAGTTGTCGTGGGACCTTAGGCTGTGAGGTTTTCAGACTTTTCCGGGTTTGATGACTGTGAAAGTTGGAGGAGGCCTTGTCAGGTGTTCCTCAGACGGCATTTGTCTGATGTTTTTCTCGTCTTTAGACTGCTGTTATGGGTTGGGGAGGAAGACGCTGGAGGCAAAGAGCTGTTTTCATCGCATCCTATCCAGGGCATGTACTGTCCATCTCACTTACCGCTGTGCTGCTGGCTGCGGTCACCTGGCCGAGGCCCCGTGTGTCAGCTTTCTCCCCTTCTCATGCTGTCCTCTCTGGAAGGAAGTCTAAGCACAGCCCACGCTTAGGGCTGGGGAGTTACACTCCACCTCCTTGAGGGGGAGTGGCTACATAATTTGTTTACGATTCTTCTGGGGAAATTTGTCTCTTCTCCCCCATTTATTTATTTACTCATTCATTCCCTTGCTTGCTTTTTTTTTTTTTTTTTTTTTTTTTTTTGCTGAGGAAGATTCACCTTGAGCTAACATCTGTGCCGATCTTCCTCTATTTTATGTGGTATGCTGCCATAGTGTGGCTGATGAGTGGTGTAGGTCTGCCTGGAACCCCAACCTGGGCTGCTGAAGCAGAGTACACCGAACTTAACCACTACACCACGGGGCTGGCCTCTCCCTTGCTTTTTAAAGTTAGCTTCACCACATGCATGTGTAAACCTAGACAGCATTGTTCAGTTTGGTCGTGTTAGGGCTTTGTGAAAATGGAACTGTGGAGGATGTAGTCCTTTGGCTTTTCTACTCAGCATGGTTTCTGAGAATCGTCTGTGTACTTTGGGGAGGCTCTCTTCCCTCTCACTGCTGAGTGATGCTGAGGGATGTGGCTGTCACCCACGTCTCCCTCTTCCTGTTGGTTCAGTGATGGATTTCTCTTCGTCACCTGTTGTAAGCAGAGCTGCTCGGAGCCCTGTTGTGCAGGTCCCCTGACACACAAGTGCTGGCATTTCTCTGCTGCCTGTAACTCGACGTGGCATTGCTGCCTGGGACAGGGTGTCAGTGTTCAGCTGCACAAGATAATTCCAAATTGTCTTCCAAAGTGGTTATTCCTTCTTACTCTCTCCAGCAGAATATGAGCATTCCCATTGCTTCACAGCCTTCCTAACACTATCAGCTTTTTTCGTTTTTATCCCTTTAGGGTAGAATGGTATCTTACTGTGATCTCAAATTAGGCAGAGGATCGAGCTTTTTTTTGTGCTTACTCACCATTTGTACTGCCCTTCTGTACAATGACCGTGTCTTTTACTTGCTTTTCAATTGAGTGTTGGTCTTTTTCTTCTTGAATTGTAACAGTTTTTTATATATTCTGGATACCAGTCCTTTGTCATTATATGTACTGCTTACAATGGTTTCTTTACAAGTATATATCATCATATTTTGATCTATGAAAATGAATAATTCCTACTTGAGAATCCAGATGTTCTTTTAACTGGAAGAGAGTCTTTTTCTGTGCCAACAATGGATACCACTCTCTATAAACTTTAATGCTTTCATGTAAAAGGGAATGTGGTGTTCTCACAGCTTTGCTGAGAGGGCCATATCCATTTTGTGTTGTTTCGGTGTTCAACACGTATTTTTAAATTTTGAGGTTGAAAAACATAAATACAAAGTTTTTGCATGCTGGAATTTTACTACCATACTTAAATTATATTTGCCACGTCTGTGATCTAGTCTTAGACTGTGCCTTCTCAGTAGTTTAATGAGCTTTGCTAAACTTGTCTTTCGTTATCTGTTGCTGCACTAATCAGTTGCTAGAAAGAGAGAGCAGATTCACTCTTCATTATTGATCTGCATTTCATGAATATTTATGTATATTCCATGTACTTTCACCCTTTTACTCAAAGTAGCTGAATAGTATAAAATTTAAATTTTTAATTGGCATTCTTCCCTGGCTTCCGTCGTGAGTTAAGAGCCCTTATTATGTAGAATAAGAATGACTGTATCAAAAGGTGAGATGGTTTTAGATGAAGCATCTTAAATTTGAATCCAGCGGCAATTCAGGACTTCGGTGTAGGACACACTAGCCCATCCGCGTCCTCTGTCCACGCGTGGATTCCTGTGGTGGACATGCCACCAGCAGCTGCTGATAAAGAGCGTCACAGGCCCTTCGCCCGCTCACTCCTTCCGGTACTTGCCAAGTGCCACACAGGCTCAGGCCTTGCTGAGCGTTCTGTTTACGAGGAGGCGAGGGCCTTGTCCTCACAGAATTACAGTCAGTGAGAGAAAATAGACAATCGATAAAAATATGTGTGAAGTTCTGGTAAGTGGCATGGAAAGAAGAAAACAGCAGGGGTGGCGGGGATGGTGGTGACGCAGAAGCTCTTCTAGGAAAGGTGGGCAGCTGGGCTTGGCAGAGAGCTGGGGTTCGTCAGGGACGGGCTATGAGAGAGGGAGAGTGGAGCACGGGAGGTGACACTGCATCACAGGCCTGAACGACGTGGAGGAACAGAGTTGTGCAGAGAGCTGTCTCAGGGAGGAGCATGTGAGCATCAGGGGCAGAGGCCTGAGGCAGGAGCTCACCTGGTTGTTCTGAGGAAGAGCGAGCGTGAGGAGCAGGCTGTGGTTTGGAGAAGGAGCCCAGAGTCAGGGCATTTTAGGCTTCGATTAAAAGCCTCGTGTGGCGGGAAGCTGCAGTGAGGTTTGGACAGAGGAGCGACACAAATCACCAGCTGCTTTACGAGCATCATGGGGCTGCTGTTAGGGAAGCCAATTGGGAGTTGCGTGGAGGGGTGGAACCAAGGATCAGCTCAGAGAAAGTGACTTAGTCCCGGCCAGGGCTGCTGCTGTCTTGGAGCAGGGCGGGGAGGGTGAGGTTGGTTGCAATCAGATGTATTTTGAAGGCGAGCCTGTAGGGTTTGCAGATGAAATGGGTGGAGTGTGAGAGACAGGAGTCTGTGGGATGGCTCTAAGATTTTGGGCCCGATGAGCAGCTGGGTGAATGGTTGTCATATATGTCATTTACTCAGAAGAGAGCTCTGTGGGAGACACAGGTTTTTGTTGTGGTTGTTCATTTGATTAGCTTTCTTTTGTTTTTGGTGGGGAGAATGAAGAGTTTTATGTGGACATGTGAAGTCTGAAGTGCACATGAGACCTCCAGACAGAGGTGTTCAGTAGGCAGCCGGGGAAACAAGTCTGGCATCCAGGGGAGAGAGCAGAGGTGGAGGCAACAGTTGGGAGCGATGTGCCTGTAGATGGCACTCAGAGCCAAGAGGGTAGATGGACTCGTCCAGGGAGCAAGTGGGCGGATGGTCGATGCCCCCAGACAGCCTGCTGCTCCTGCATCTCTAGATCAGAAGTACCAGCAGGAGCCAGCGAGGAGACCAAGGAAGAACAGTCAGAGAGGAAGGGAGAAAAGCAGGGCTGGGCGACTGCCTGGGAGCCCAGTGAAGGGCGTGTCCAAGAAATGGCTGCTGGACAGGGTCAGCTGTCATCGTGTAGGCAGGATGACATGGAAAAGAGAGAGGCTCATGACAGGTGGAGCGCGGGAATAACTGGAGGAGCAGGTTCCTGCGGGAGCCAGGAGGGGTGGATCCAGGGCACGGAGGAGGATGGGCTCAGAAGGTCGCCCAGATGCTTGCCAGGAGCAAAAGGGACAGCCGAGTGTTCACAGGCACGGGTAGATGTTTCCTTCTTATCGCCTCTGTTTTTCTCGGTGAAAGGAGAAGCAGGGTCATTCCTCAACAGAGACTGTGAAGGGGAGGAGATATTAGTGGGTGGAGAAGATCTGAAGCAGCCCCCCACGGAGGGAGAGCAAGTTCACTTAGGACACAGAGTGTCCTGCCAGGCAGCACCAAGGGCTCGCGTGGGCCGCTGATCAGAGATATAACATGGGGCTGCTTTGCGGGTTGTGATTGCTGCTGCTGCTGCACATTCGGCCGTCCCGGGGCAGGTGTCCAGTAGCTGCTACCAGAGTTTGCTAAGTGCCCCCTTGGTGCTTTTGGTGCCGTGTCAGACTCCTGATTTATAGCAACCGAGATTTCTTTAAGTGCTCCTGGCACGTGTTACTG